ATAAAATCCCATTTCAGAAAATCATTATAGTTCTTTTTTTTTTGGTCCCTGCAGTATGTATAAGATAATTTAGAATGATGAAGCTGTCCAGGTATTAAGCAGTTTTGTTTCAAGTGCATGACCTAGGATTCTATTAATGATCAGTTCTGACCCTTACACGTCCCCATAGACTCCTAGAGATAATGAGAAGGGCAGGGAATTATTGATCGAAACTAATGTGGCTTCCTTGTAGATCCTGAGTTTCTATGTTAAACAAAATCAATCAATGCCAACTGAAAAGCATGTTAATCATAATGCATGAACAACTTATACCAACTAACATACTATAGAAAACAATATTGCTACAATACTTAGAAAAGCAATTAAATATTATTAAAACTTTAAAAAGTAAAATAAATAACAAACGAACCACAGTTTGATTTGTAACATAAATTGTCTGAATGCTTTGAATTAATTTACCTGAGCTCCAGCTAGTCTAAATTTAAGAATTTTGGATATCAGGATTGACCTGTTAGGATTTTTCATAGCACCTAGTGGACATAAAAGTAACCAGTTCCCAAATCCAGAGCATAAGAATCTTCTAGTCACAGAATTCAGGTAAGCAAATTAACAACTGCCATCCTAATTTTCTCAAGCAATTAAACTACTTCTCTCATCACCTGTTTCTATCTTCTGGAGAAAATTGCAGTTTATTTTTTAGCTATAAACATATATTGGACAGAAGTACTGGAATCTATTAAATATTTAAATGTTCATTCCATACTTCTCAGGATGCTCTACTTGTACTTTATGAAACACTTTGGCATAACAAATCTTACTTTCAGATATACACAATTTTTGTGAAAGAACACAAATCATGGGTGCATCTGTACACAAACTGTTATCAAAGCCTTTTTTTGCTTGCTTTAAAACAAGTTTAAATTAGCAAAAGTACTGTACAAAAATAGAGAATAATTGCTATCTTCCAATCTCTTACAGGCTCCAGCTTAAAAACTGATAAAGCTTGACCAACACACAGGGAAATTACTCTGGTGATAAACCAGATGTTATGCTGAAACAAAATATCTTAGTAATGCAACTTAGGTAATTTCTATGGAATTTGACCTCAAAAAAGGGACTAGGGAACATTAGTAATAAATAATAATAATAATATAATGAAAAGTGCAGGCAAACTACTGTCATAATACCACAGAACCAACATTCATGAATAAAAATTACATCACAACCAAACATATCAAATATACATTATGACTCTGTGGGTGTAGAAATGAAGCAATCAACACTAAATCAAGCTTTAAATCAGGGTGAATATTGATGCCATTTTTTCAGAATACATTAGCAATCTGCCATACTTAAAGACTGCTAGAAAAAAAAATACAAAGTAATTCAATCCTCTCCATTACAGGGAAACATTTCAAGAAAAATCTCTGTTCTTTATGCTCTGCTGAGACCAAGTCCTAAACACTGCATTTTCATTTCTATGAATTCCAGTTTTACCTATGTGACATTCACAGTCTTTCCTTTCTTAGGAAAAGACCTTAGGTGATGCAGCACTGGAAAGCAGAGTGGACTTGGGTAATCAACTCAGTTCTTACTCTAAGAGCTATGTTGACAAGTGCAATCTCAGACAATGTTTGTGAGGTTTAAGAGCCCTTAAATTACTTACTCCTTTTGCTACAGGAATTGACACTTGCATTTCACACCTCCAGGAAATATACTGCATAACTGAATATATTCTAAGGTACTTCTCTCCACTGAACAATGAACAAATGGTAGCCAGGTACAACATGATGTATTTTAAGGTTGTAAAAATTACCAGCTTGGTACTGAATTTTCAAACCACTCTCATGCTAGAAGCTGTAACACAATTGTCAGCTAACATTTTCTTGTTAGTAGGTTAGGAGGTCATACTTACTATGCCTGTTTCCTCCACAAATGATTTTGCATTAATTATTAAAAGTCTAAGGTCTAATTCTGCTGCCCTTACTTTAAAAATAATGTCATTAAAATCAAGGCTATATAAAGAATAAAATGAAAAGAACCAAGTTTTTGAGTTTTTTTGTCTTTTAGATAGCAGAAATGGAATCTCAAATAGCAGGTATATTCTTAACATGAAGTATAATATAAATGAAGGAAAATTTGCAAAAGTACATTCCACATCCTATTTAAGAAAGTTCAGAAGATTATTTATTTTTTTTGTTGGGAAAATGGGATTCTTTATTGTAAAAAAACCCAACAAACAAACAAACCAGCAATTATGTTAGTTGTTACATTCCTAAAACAGCTGTATTTGTCTTAATATCAGAGATAAAACTAGCTTATCTTAGACATAATTTTATGTTGCTTTCATGTCATGTTCAGAATAAAGCATTAAGTAGTTGTGTCTGAAACATTTCATTCTAGAAATGAAAAGTCACTATATATTCTTTAAACTACAGACCCGGTAGATTCACAGATGGACACTTGTCAGTCAATGGCCAATTTAGATGCCAGCTTTACTTTCAAGTACAAGATTAGAGACACAAAAAAGTGCTCACATTGTCACTTATTGTGTTGACGGCATGTAAAACTATTTTTTTAACTTCATTCATGACAAAAACCTACAGATCACAGACTTGACTTTTCCCTTCATTTTAATCTGGGAGTTTGATACAGTTCTAGGTATCATCAACCTTTCTGAGCTCTGATTACAAAGCATCCCTAACAGTGTCCAGGAAAGCAAAGTAGCATGTCATACAGATCTTGAAGTAATCATTCCTAGCAAAGGGCTCAACATCTTAACTATAAACATTTCCCAAAATAATGAAGAATCATGTTATTAGAACTATGTTATAGAATCATAGAATATCAAGTTGGAAGGGGACCTCAAGGATCATCTGGTTCAACTTTTCTAAGCAAAATCACAGTCTAGACAAAATGGCCCAGCACCCTGTCCAACTGAATCTTATGTGTCCAACACTAGGAAATCCACAGCTTCCCTGGGGAGAATATTTCCATGGCTGATTGTTCTCATTTTTAAAAATTATCATTTTGTGTCTAATTCTAATGTCGTCAGGAGTAACTTGTACCCATTATCCCTCAACTTTTTCATATGATTCTTTGTCAGCTTAAAAAATAATTAATTACAGTATTTAGATACAAACATTAAGGGGAAGCTCTGTTTTTAAACTGATGAACTTCGACATTTTTCAAATGTCGAGTACCACATAAAGAACCTTCCCTGATTACACCACCTCTAACTACAGATCCTGTCATTCAGTTCTCTGTTTTTTAAAAATTATGATCAAGCAGATTGACAGCAAAAGCAGAATTTGAAACAGACTTATTCTTAATGAGTTCTCAAAAAAAAAAAAAAAGAAAAATGAAAAAGTATTTTTAAATATCAGATTACCTCAAACCTTAAATTCTCGGAAAATAAGCTAATATAGTAATTGGAGGATGAGGTGCAGTCATGTCTTCTTACTGGCATGTACATTCCAGATATCTATGATTCATCTTAAGACACTCACAGGTCTATTAAGCCATGACAGAGAAACAGTGAGTACCAGAGAGTTCCGATTTATCTGATTTATCTTAGGCACTTAGGGTGAGATAAATTACTCTGAGAAGGTGCCTTTTGTTTTCACTGGGTATAAAGGAAAACTGGAGTTACTAACAACTAACTTTGGATACCCAAGTTACAGCAAATCAATCTCACCATAGGCCAAAACTGGCTGAGGAAAATTATGTTTCATTTCCATCAGCTGGTGCAAAACTCTTTTTATCTCCTTAGAACTTTGTTGTGTTAAAATGAGAAATGTAAGTTGAATTTTTTTATTGCTAGTAAGTATTTTTCCTAAAGTTACAACTATAAGTGACACAGTAAAAGCATTCCTTTTTTAACCAATTAAATCTCATGATCTTACAATAAAACAGGAAAGAAGAATTACTGGATACAGTATTATATTACGAAAAAGACAGCTAAGAAACTGTCTTACAGAGTACTAAAAACAGAAAAAGGAAAATGCAAAAATAGAATGTGCATGATGTTCTATATTTAGCTTTGTGGGTAGGCTCTGAAATCTCCTTTGAGCTGTCTTTGATAATCACTGGTACAATCAAATTCTGAGGCAACAGTAGGGTGTTCTCAGCAATGTTTTTATCTGCGGACTCAAACCAGTCAGAATTCAAAGGCAATCCATGAATTTCTTATAGTTCTATACATAAGCATCTTTTTTATTTTTTTTCACTTTTGTCAACTGAGCCTAGATCAAAACATACAATTTTGCATCACTGTTTTCAATATGTCTCCAATTTCATTTTAAATATGAATGCTTGCTAAAAGCCTTGCAAGGCAGACCTATCTTGAAGATTGTCCCACTATTAACACAGCTGTAACAGAGAATTTCATTTGTCTCAAAAAATGATATCAAAGTGAAACATTTTCATGTCTCTCTGTATGTGAGCAGTTTTCCAGCTGCATGCTATCAGTGCATCTGCAGTGAATCTTACAGAATATAATTTAAAAGATAGAAGGAATGCTGGACATGTGAGGTATATTCAGATACTATATTCCAACTACAGCATCAGTGTTTTCTTCAACAGCATTAAATATCACACATTAGCCTGCCAGTGGCATAAGACCCTCGAGGCTCTTTTGCAGCATTTCTTTTAATGTTATAAGGAATAAAAAGTAGAGAGAAAACGGATGCCATTTCACTGCTAATCCTATCACCAGATGCAAAATATAACAGACCATGCCCTTAATATTCAACTGCATACCAAGCTAAAACAAAAGTAAAATTTCCAATTAAAAAAATGTAATTGAAATCTCTATACTACTAGTAAGTAATACTCTTTGGGTCAATTTCAATGGCATTGCCATTGCTAGTTGGGGCACATGAAAATTTCTTCCATAGAGTATTTTTTTGTTTGGTTGAGGTTTTTTTTATATGAGACAGTACCAGTTTACACCATTCTTGTATTGGCAGAAACTGATTGAATAGATTTTTGCTTCTTACCATCAACACATGCTGGCCTTGCTCTTGTTGTACCGGCAATCTGTCCTTTTTTACATGCACAGCGAGCTGTTTGTCGGGCTATAGTCCTTCGGGGCTGACTGCTATCTCTGTCCAAAGTAACAATCTCACATGTACCTGCAGCCAGTTGACCTGGAAAACAAACCAGCAACAGGTACCAGAGTCACTGAATGCACTACAGGCAATCTATTACAGCCAAATAGAGTCACGGCCCTAAGTCACAGCAGACACTCCACAACAAATGGGCAGCCAGCTGATGGATATAATAAAACTGAGATGACATACAATTTTTCTTTGTGGTGGACATATGAAACCCCTGCAAACTGGTTCTGTCAGAAAATGATTATTGTTCCATAAAAGCCAGAGAGTTGAGGTTACACAGGTTACTTTTACTTACGTCGGCTAAGTAAAGGAACAATCTTTTACAGCAATGAAATTTAAATGGTATGCTCTTTACATACTTCCAGAAAAGAAATTATAAAGTATATGGAAAATAAAAACTTCCCCATATGTCCATGAATACAGTGAGGTCTTAACTGCTTTATGTGTTGGTTTTGAAGGAAAAAGTCTTTCAAAGCGTGTCCATGCTTGCCAAACTATAGTCCTTTGGCTCTTACTTCATCTAAACTGAATTCTCTACCTGACTCATATTTGATGTAGCTGTTAGTTTCTTTTTCTTTTAGTTTCTTTTTTTTTCTTTTACCAAATTTACTATTTAACTATTCTCCAAATTACTTAAATGATACTGCACCCTTAGCTCTGTAACTGTTTACTTTTTATTGACTTCTCCAATATATGTATCTTTTCCTGAGTACTAAGGAAATACAAACCACCTAATTCTGAATTTGCCCATGCTATGAGAAGCAAAACAAAAAGCACAAAAAATTCTTGTGTGAAGAATATTAACCTGAAGTAAAAGCTATACATTTAAAGTTATGTACTTCCTCTGATAAAACCATAAACCAAAAGACTACCTTTTACATGTAAGAAAGACACATTATTGAATTACAGTGTGCAGAAAGACTGAAAAAGCCTCCCAGCTATCACTTAGTATTACATGTAATTTCTGGGGGTTATGGTGCAGCAATAAACATGTGCAACAGTACATCTGCAAATCACAAGCTTGCTATATTTTGTTTTTACAAAAAAAAAAAAAAGTGAACAAATGCAATATTCTTTTTGGAAAAAAAATTATGCAGTTTAAAATATTAGTCACAGTATTTTTAGGCAGCTGAAATACTGAAAAAACCCTATGAGACAAAAAGAAGAAATTCTAAATCTATATAGACATCAAAAACAAAAACAAACAAACAAAAAAAACAAAAACAAGCAAACAAAAAACCCCTGAAACATATATGAACGGTCTGTAAGTCTAACAGTACAATGCTATTTCTCTAGGCTGCATTTTTTTCATTCAGAATACAAGGTTACCCAGTCTATTCTTCTCAGAAGCAGCTTATGATGCTTATTGTGCGGAACAGAAAAACATTGTAGCTCATCCCACATATATGACATAAATATTTTCTGGCAATTGTGTCACAGGGTGCAAAGATTTCAAGTATATTGAGCACTGCAGCACAGTGTACATCCAGTGTTACTTAGCTTTAGATGGCTATAAAGCATGAGAAGTAGTATTTAAGGTTATGGAAGACCATCTCCAGGGATGGAGTCATCTTGGTGTAAAGCATGTCCTCTCTGCCTTTCAGTAGGTAGAGGGTAAGTCTACAGGAGTACCTTACTTAGATAACATGAATGATACTTTGGCTTTTTAACAGCTTAATCTGGAAACATAAGGTCCAAAATAATGGAACAAAATGAATATGCTTCTTGTAAGTACTGAGTTACAAAAACTAGGATACCTTTCCTTTTCAGGGAAGTTAACATAGTGACCTCTTTCAAAGATAGTAATGAAAAAAGGCTGTTCAACTGAGAGCCTTGGAACACGCTCCACTTCATTCCTGAGACCAGAGAAGAAATTTCAAGGCAGCAGTGAGTGGAGTTTCACTGGAGCATTTCCAATTGAGAGATTAAGAGCCACAGTCTACAAACAGTCATAAAGACTCCATATTTTCATTATATTTTCTTTGTGTACTTGCAGTAAACAAAGCAATTCACCACCTTCCAACCTGAACAAAATAATCTTGGCAGAAGAAAAGACAAGCATCATCAGAGAACTCAGAGCCTTCTCTAAAATTTTTTTCCCAAGGAAAAAAATGTCATTTTTTACTAGTATGAAGGTTGCTACAGAATTACCATAATCCATTTTTCCAAGCAAATGAGTAGGTATTTCTTTATTCTTGTTATTTTTATGATATATATAAAAATATTTTATACTTGATAAATATCTATTTTATAATTTTAATCCAGTAATTAAGACCTCCTTGGCAATTTATTTGATTTTGTGTTGTCACCATCTGATTACTAAACAGAGAAAAGTTTCAGATTCTTTAATACTCTTCTCTAGTGTTATACTGCATTCTGAAAATGCCAGCTGATCTCTCCCCTCTCTCTACCACCACAATCACAAATACTTTTATATGGAATTATTTCAGGAAGGAGGAAAGCCACAGGATCCTGAATTAAAAATGCAAGTTGAAGTAAACCAAAATAAAAACAATGCTCAAATGCTAACATTTTAAATACAACAGGTTTGGGCTTTTGGCTTTTAGCGTGAAATTGTTTACAGTAATTGCTGTATACAGAACCTCTTTTGCTTTTTTCTAAATGAAATCCAACTGCGATCAGTCCTGAAACTGCTCTTTGTGAGACTTCCATGAAGTATGTAGAAATCAGTGAGTATAGGTACATATATTTAGCAAATGTTCAGGATGTCTCAAGGTAAAACAAACATATTTTTAAAAGACCTTTAGTACTTACATTCTTGAAATAAGAGTTTGATATTGAAAAGTTTAAAAGTAAATGGCATTTTTCATGTTGATTACTAAGACCTCTCTGTCAACCATATGCCATTGCTGAAAGAGCAATGATATTGAAAGACTTTGATATTGTTTGTCATTGGTAAAAACCCTTAAATAGTAAATACATTTGTACTTCAGTACTTGGGATAACATTTTAATTTTCTGTGAATAAAAATATTTCTGTTCTCTAATAGAATACAAAAATCTACTTATTCCACATTGACTACAGCAAGTAAGTTACAGATTTTTTTAATTTATGATTACTGAAAAACTTTACCAAAAATTCAATTAAAGAAATAAAATCAAATGATGAACTAATGGTATCTGTGGGTACAATGAAAGTAAGGCTTGATCTAAATATATAGGTCTTTCCAGGGGGTTGGATTTCATGCTCATCCATAAAATCTACTTTTGATTCGTACATGTAGGCTTATATTATAGTTTCAGTGAACAATTTTTCCATGCATCACCAATTTGATGCCTAGCAACACAAGCTCTTTTAGTTCAAAATGCATTAAGTTAGATGGTATTAAAATTCTTGGCTAGATTCAGATACTCTTTTGTCAGTGAACACAATGCAGGAGTTGTTTCAAAATCAGATCATAGGAATACATTCATTAGTTTTCTATTACAATATTGAAGTCTTTGTGACAACAGAGCCATGCCAACTCCTGAGCAGAGCTTAGGACCAACAAATGCTACTGAAATAAGGGGAAACTTAAATACTCAGTTTTAATAGTGTCACTCATTATTTGCAGTTTGACATTAACCTGAGTAACAAATATTTCAACATAATGCAATTTAAAATATAAAAAGCATATGTTTAAGTGGAATTTGAAATTTTTTGTTATTTATCCTTCCTCAAGGAGAATGTCCTGCAATAAGATCTCTTACACTGAACATGATCCAATTTCAGACAGTCAGATTACCTTTTCTTTTCCAATTTTAGTTCAGAATGAGAAAGATTAACGACAAGGAATTGTTTTGCCTCAAAGAACCACACTCACTTTTAAGCTACAATAGCAAAATTTCTGGAAACCCAACTAGCGTAAAATAAGAAAGAACAACTCCCACTACCCTCCCGAAAAAAACGTGTTTTATCTAAAGTAACAGAGTAGAATTGGCTAGGTCAGTATGGGGAAAAGCTGTTCAAATGAATCAGCACAATTTGAGAATAACTAGCAAATAAGAACATTGTTTCAATTCTTACCTTATGTGATACAAGGGCATTTCAGATTTTTAATAGAATAAAGTAATGGAAATACACTATTTCCCTTTCCTGTTATTAAAGTCAAGGACATTGAAAGCATTTGTTTCCAAAATCTTTCATATATCATTTAGGACCTTGTATCTTTTTATTGAAATAAATATTGTGGCTGTTTAAGTAGTAAGACTGCACAAAGCAATTTTTCATGCTAGTTGAGTTAGACAACCTGTTTAAAATATTCTTTATCATTTTTTCTTGAGGGTATGATTATGTTGTCAGTAGAAGAAGACAGAAACAATGTCACTGAAACAAAAAGTAACTAATTTGGAAAATCCTAATCTATTGGTGCAACCCACAGATGCCCAGTAAAGTAAAAAGTAGTATAATTTTTCCAGAACTTTCCATACATTTACTTCATTACAGCTTCAGAGCTATATTTGATGAAAATTGACCTTAACATATGACCTCTGTAGCTTCTCTGTCTTAAAGGGAGTGATTTTGGATTTTAGTGGTATAAAAGAATGGAATTTGTCTCAAAAGGTGTGGCTTTAGTGCTCGTTTTATGAAGGAAAACTCACTGTAGAATCCAGCTAAGTAAAATTTATGAATAACAAGGGAAAAGTATGATGAATTACTTCTCCTTTAAAGAGTTAGTTTAAATATTTTTCAGAGTTCCACTGCAATGAAACAGTACATTATGTCCCCCTAGTAATTACTAATGTTATTGCAATTTTCAGACTACCACTTAGCCATCTCAAGCACATAAACAGCACAGACATTAGGAGGATAGGAAAATAGATTTCAGCTCTTCCATTCTGATATAAGCAGTAAATTTTAATTAAGATAGATCCTAATCTAAATAGTTGCACAGGAAAGAAAATCAAGTCTGTGGAGATTTAAGAAACATTCAGGGCCCATTTTGAGATTTCTTTTTTCCCAGATAAGACTAACGCCCTAATTTATTGCACCTGATACTGCTATTGCATGTAATTGCTTAATATTTGGTT